ACTGTCCAATTTGTCCATGTCTATAAGGTAGGGGCACACGAGCGATTTTTATCGCCCGATCGCCGCTAATTTGAAAATCGCTCGAAAAATTCGCTCGTGTGCCCGTTCACGTCGACGCCGATTTTAATCGCCCGCACGAATCGCCCGTATCCAAAATGTTAGATATTTTCGGGCGATTATTTACGCCGGCGATTATTTACGCTGGCAAATTCGCTCGTGTGCCCGTGTCCGGCGTATTTTGTTGCCCGATCGATTTTTCTAAACCAATCGGACGTGTTGTTGATATGATGTGATGTTAAAATCGGGCGATTAAATTCGCTACGTGTGCCCCTTCGTGATCGGGCGTATAAATTCGCTGGCGATTTTAATCGCCGCGATCGGTGGATAAAATACGCTCGTGTGCCCCCAGCTTTAGTCTGTTTTGCCAACTCTGCATTCACGACACTGCGTTTTTGACGGCGTGTAAAATGCGCGACGTGATCCTAAATGTCCCCGTCTCGACCGCATTGACATCTGTTTTGCCAACTCTGCATTCATGACACTATTTTGACGGCGTGTGAAATGCGCGAGGTGATCCTAAATGTCCCCGTCACGACCGCATTGACATCTGTTTTGCCAACGCTGCATTCATGACACTTTTTTGACGGCGTGTAAAATGCGCGACGTGATCCTAAATGTCCCCGTCACGACCGCATTGACATCTGTTTTGCCAACTCTGCATTCATAACACTTTGCGTTTTTGACTGTGTGTAAAATGCGCGACGTGATCCTAAATGTCTCCGTCACGACCGCATTGACATCTGTTTTGCCAACGCTGCATTCATGACACTTTTTTGACGGCGTGTAAAATGCGCGACGTGATCCTAAATGTCCCCACACTACCACATTGACATCTGTTTTGCCAACACTGCATTCATGACACTTTTTTGACGGCGTGTAAAATGCGCGACGTCATCCTAAATGTCCCCGTCACGACCGCATTGACATCTGTTTTGCCAACACTGCATTCATGACACTTTGCGTTTTTGACGGCATGTAAAATGCGCGACGTGTCCCTAAATGTCCCCGTCGCGATCTCTGTCCTAAATGTCCCCGTTGCGACCTTGCTCCCCGCAGGACTTCATCTTCTTTGCATCGCGTCTGCGAGTGAACAAGCGCATCCTCGCGCTGTGCATGGGCAACCACGAACTGTACCTGCGCAGACGCAAGCCTGACACCATCGAGGTGCAGCAGATGAAGGCACAGGCGAAGGAGGAGAGACTTTCGAAGGACCAGGACAGGTGTGTGTTTGTGCGTGTGCGTGTTTGTGCGTGTGTGCATGCGTGCGTGCGTGCGTGCGTTGGTGTGCATACGTCTGTACCTGTGTCTACGCAGTGTGGCGTAGCTTTTCTGTAATTACCCCTGCCGTGCAGTTTTGATTATGAGGAAGCCAGAAAATTTTAATAGAAAACTTTTTTTACCAGAACAGACTGCCGTTGATGAAGCGTATGTAGAAGCCAGAGTGAAATACAGTTTTGTGTACAGTTTTCCGTATCACATACTCAACTGTAGGTGTTGAACTAGCAGGCTTACACAAAGATGGTGCTTTAATTTGGCAGGAGCCGACTAAACAAGGAGAGAGAGGCACGCGAGCTAGCTGAACGGCAAAAGGAGGCAATTGAGACCAGACTCAAACAGATGGAGGAGGAATTTGCAAAAATGCAAGGATGTAAGGCTGCAGTCTTTTGGTGATAATTTGGATTGGATGAAGAAAAACTACCTTTCGTAGATTCGTGTATTTGCTCACACCAATCGTAATAGTGGTTGAGATGTAGTGGGGGATTACTTTCCCGTGGATGTACCCCTCCCCATAGATGTTCCTCTCCCCATGGATGTTCCTTGCCTCGTGGATGTTCCTCGCCCCATGGGTGTTCCTTGCTCGTGGATATTCCTCACCTGTGGGTGTTTGGTGTTCCTCACCCCATGGATGTTCCTGTCCACATGATGTTCCTCTCCACTTGAATGCTCCTCACCCTGTGGATGTTCCTCGCCCTGTGGGTGTTCCTTGCCCCTTGGATGTTCCTTGCCTCATGGATGTTCCTCTCCCCATAGATGTTCTTCACCCTGTGGATATTCATCCCCTGTGGGTGTTCCTATCCACCATATGTTCCTGTCCACGTGATGTTCCTCCCCACTTGATGTTCCTTCTCTCATGGATGTTCCTTGCCCTGTGGGTGTTCCTCGCCCCTTGGATGTTCCTTGGCTCATGGATGTTCCTCTCCCCATGGATGTTCCTCACCCCGTGGATATTCATCCCATGTGGGTGTTCTTCACCCCATGGATGTTCCTTTTCACGTGATGTTTCTCCACTTAAATGTTCCTCACCTTGTGGATGTTCCTTCTCCCGTGGATGTTCTTCTCCCTGCAGGTGTTCCTTGCCCCTTGGATGTTCCTTACCTCATGGATGTTCTTCACCTCGTGGATATTCATCCCCTGTGGGTGTTCCTCACCCCATGGATGTTCTTGTCCACTTGATGTTCCTCACCCTGTGGGTGTTCTTCGCTCCTTGGATGTTCCTTGCCTCATGGATGTTCCTTTCCCATGGATGTTCCTCACCCCATGGATATTTATCCCCTGTGGGTGTTCCTCACCCCATGGATGTTCCTGTCCACTTGATGTTCCTCACCCTGTGGATGTTCCTTCTCCCGTGGATGTTCCTCAACCCTGGGTGTTCCTCGCCCTGGGGTGGAGGGTACATCCCGCAGGTTGCCGTTGTTGACCGTGCGACATCTCTGTGTTTGCGTTGTGCAGCCCTGCAGACGTCACAGGACACTGTCACCCGGCTGGAGGAGCAGTTCCTGGAGGCTGAGAGACACACGCAGGAGCTAGAGGAGGAGAGGAGACTCCTAGAGGAGCGTCGCAGGGAAGCCGAGTCGTGCGCCTTGCTTGACAGGGAGGAGAAGGAGCGGCTGGTAAGTGCGCGGTATTCGTCGCTCGCCCCTACACGTCCTTCAGGTATCAAGTATTGCGCGGCATTCGTCGACCCCCATGTGTCCCCGCGGATGTTCCTTGCCTGGTGGATGTTCCTCGCTTCTGGGTGTTCCTTGCCCCGTTGATGTTCCTTGCCCCGTGAATGTTCCTTACCCCTGGGTGTTCCTTGCCCCATGGATGTTCCTCGCCCCATGGATGTTCCTTGCCCCATGGGTGTTCGTCGCCCCATAGATGTTCGTCGCCCCATAGATGTTCCTTGCCCCTGGGTGTTCCTCGCCATGTTGATGTTCCTTACACCTGGGTGTTTCTCGCCTCATGGGTGTTCCTCGCCCCATGGAAGTTCCTTGCCCCTGGGTGTACCTCACCCCGTTGATGTTCCTTACCCCGTGGATGTTCCTCGCCCCATGGATGTTCCTTACCCCTGGGTGTTCCTCGCCCCATGGATGTTCCCACGCGTCCTTCGGGTATCAAGTTTCATGCGGCATTGCGCGTAGTCTGACGTCGCGCTGACGTGTTCTCGTCGTCGTTGCAGACGCAGGAGGCGGAGGAGGCGCACCGCGCGATCCTGCAGAAGGAGGAGGAGATGCGGCAGGCGGCGGAGGAACGGCGCCGGCTGAACGAAGAGCTGCAAGAGGCGCGCATCAAGCAGGAGGAGGCCGCCGCCGAGATGCTGCGGCTGTCGCAGATGCCGCGCGAGGTGGTGCGCGAGGTGGTGCGCGAGGTGGTGCGCGAGCCCGAGTCGCCGCAGCTCGACGAGCTGCCCAACGGAGGAGGACCCACGCGTACGTAGCAGCGAAGGAGGAGCGGTCGGTCGGTCGGTCGCGATCGGTCGGTCGTAGTAGTGAGCGTTGTTGTATAGTAGTTGTCGTAGTAGTGAGCATTGTTGTATAGTAGTTGTAACAATCCTAAAAAACTGGCCTTAGGTTTTAATATAAATTGCTTGTAACGGTGCCAATATATGTTTTGGTTTATTAGGAATTTCTTGGCAGCAAGTTTTCGCTGCCTACACTGAGATCAAGCAGCAAACTAACCCTTGTTGGCAGCAAAACTGCTGCTTGCTGCCCTTAATTTCGAACCCTGTGTTTGTCGATTAGGAATTGAGATCCAGATGACGAGTGACGATGATGCCTACCTGCCACGGCCTGAAGAATCCAGGGTGACCCAGGTCGACAAGAATGAGCGCATGATGCAGCAGCTGAAGGTAAGACAGTACACCTCGCCATGCTGTCCAATTATTTATGATTGTTGGACAGTACCATCATTCACGATCATTGCGTTGTCCTGCTCAGTCATTAATGATCACCGTGCTCTCCTGCCCTGCCATTCACAATCGTTGTCCTGCCCTGCCCAGCCGTTCACGATCTGACACCATGCAGTCCCATCATTCACAATCTTCATGCAGTACCGTCATTCACGATCATCATGCCATACTGTCATTCACAGTCATCGTGCACTGCCATCATTCACGATCGTCGTGCAGTCCCATCATTCACGATCGTCGTGCAGTATCGTCATTCACGATCTCTATGCTGTCCCATCATTCATGATCGTCGTGCAGTACCGTCATTCACGATCTCTATGCTGTCCCATCATTCATGATCATCGTGCAGTACCGTCATTCACGATCTAGCAAAGCGTGAATGATGGGACTGCACGACAAAGCGTAAATGACAGTACTGCACGACGAAGCGTGAATGACGGTACTGCATGACGAAGCATAAATGACGGTACTGCACGACGATCGTGAATGACGGTACTGCACGGAAAAGCGTGAATGATGGGACAGCATGGCAATCGTGAATGATGGGACAGTATGGTGATCGTGAATGATGGGAAAGTATGGTGATAGGGAAAGACGGTACTGCACGACGATCATGAATGATGGGACAGCATAGAGATTGTGAATGACGGTACTGCCCGACGATCATGAATGATGGGACAGCATAAGTGAATGATGGTACTGCACGACGAAGTGTGAATGATGGTACTGCACGACGATCGTGAATGACGGTACTGCACGACGAAGTGTGAATGATGGTACTGCACGGCGAAGCGTGAATGATGGTACTGCACGGCGAAGCGTGAATGACGGTACTGCACAGTGAAGCATGAATGATAGTACTGCACAACAATCGTGAATGACGGTACTGCACGACAAAGCATAAATGACGGTACTGCGCGACGATCGTGAATGACGGCACTGCACGACGATCGTGAATGATGGGACAGCATAGAGATCGTGAATGACAGTACTGCACGACGATCGTGAATGATGGGACTGCACGACGATCGTGAATGATGGGACAGCATTGAGATTGTGAATGACGGTACTGCACGACGAAGCGTGAATGATGGTAATGCACGGCAAAGCGTGAATGACGGTACTGCACACTTTGCCGTGCAGTACCATCATTCACACTTTGCCGTGCAGTACCATCATTCACACTTCGTCGTGCAGTACCGCCATTCATGATCGTCGTGCAGTACCATCATTCACACTTTGCCGTGCAGTACCGTCATTCACGCTTCCCCGTGCAGTACCATCATTCACGCTTCGCCGTGCAGTACCATCAATCACACTTCGTCGTGCAGTACCGTCATTCACGATCGTTGTGTAGTACTGTCATTCACGCTTCGTCGTGCAGTACCATCATTCACGCTTTCCAGTGCAGTACCATCATTCACGCTTCGCCGTGCAGTACCATCATTCACACTTCGTCGTGCAGTACCGTCATTCACGATCGTCGTGGAGTACCGTCATTCACGCTTCGTCGTGCAGTATCGTCATTCACGATCGTCGTACAGTACCGTCATTCACGTTTTGTCGTGCTTGCAGACGCTGAGCATCGAGCTGTCGAGCAAGAAGGAGGACACGCAGTTGACGCGATCCGACCAGATCCACTACGACAACGTGCGTGAGGGCCGCGACAAGTACAAGACTCTCAAGCAGATCCGACAGGGCAACACCAAGCTGCGTGTCGACCGCTTCGAGATGATGTAGGGCGGCCCACGGCGGCTGGGGTCATGACCTCGGCAGGCCGATCCCAGGGGGCGCTGTTGGCACGCGGAGTTTGACGCGTGTGAGGGCAGGCGTGTCCGAGTGGAAGGTTTTCGCCATTGCCGGCTATGCGTGTGCGGCTTTCGGGAAGCTCTGGTTTTTTCTGAATGCACCGAGGAGCGTCCTTACTGTTTTCTCGAGTGGTTGTGTTTGGACCAAATATGACTTTTTTCTTCTCTAAAATCGCGTCGCTGAGATCTGGCTTGTAGGACGTTTTTAGCGTTTCAAAAGAGGCTTGGAAAACTCACAAGTGAGGCTATAGTTTTCATCGGCTAACCGTATAGTTACTGCCAGTTGTTTTTCCCTCCAACTTCACTCAGCTCACCATGACAATAACTATCGCTTGTGTGCATGTGCAAATGTTAAATTTAACCGTGATTGCCTTGTTAGAAACACTGGTCTCTTGTCACACCAGTCGAACACATGACTGTTAAAACTATATTGGTAAACGAGGCTGAAAAAGGAAATAACCTGTTGTGTGTGCGGCTGTGCAACGGTTTGTAAGAACCTGATCTGTGGTTTCTGCAATATTAAACTGAGTGAAGTTTTTCACGTGAAATTAATGTAGAGGGAAAAGTGGCAATCGCATAAAATTGGCGTTTTTAGCTCGTCCTGATTATGATAGCAAGTATTGTGGTGACCACAGACCTCCACCTACCTCTCAAATTCTTGCTATAGAATACCTTGTTATAATATTACTTGAGTGAAGGTTGTCTACTTCTATTGCAACTCGTCCGATTAGTTACTAAACTAGTAAACGTTTCTAGGTTAGGGTTAGGTTGATTGCGTGCAGAATATAGTTCACTATGTTCCCGTCCACTGCATACTGAGTAAATTCCACTCTTGGGAGAGTCTAAACTCTCTACGGATATTTTTCATACCGTATATTGGGCTGACTGCGTGCATGGGGAGATTGCTTTGTCTTTGACTATTTGTAGTCGATGTACGTTTAGCGCTTAGGAGTTGACCTGGATCATGCTAACTCGTGCAATTGAGTAAAGAAAATATTAACTCGGGTGTTCAAATTGTATTTTAACTTGGGTCAAACCAGTTTCCCGTTATATTTTTCTTGAAAATACATGCCTGCAAGCAGGATCTGCTCGATTAATGTGCCCTGTCGGCATTTCGACGGTATTGTAAGTTGCAATCAGTTCTTGTACATGTGTTTTTTTTCACACTGATGGAACATGCAAATCTGTGCCAAAAGGGGTCGACTGGATATAATGGATTATTTGGGACCAGTTTCACGTGAATATATTGCGCTATTAAGATTGTAGCGTATTTGAGATGCATGTCTCTGCTCAAGATGCTAATAGAGAGATTCGGGTTATTAGTTGTATTGACGGGTACGAGCACAGTGGCCTTCAGTAGATAAGTGAAGGGGATCAGTGTGTGCTGTGAGCTGTGACGATACGTGTGCCGCGGCAGTGCATCACGATCTCCGCTGAATACATCGGAATGCGCATTATGATACGTACATGCCTTACCGTTTAAGTTAACGCGTCTATTTCTATTGAAAAAAAAAGTTTTTGTTTAACATCTCCCACGAAAATGGATAGTTTGTGTTCATCATGAATTGAAGTTGCTAGGTTGTTATATTTAATGCACGCGATAGCAGACTGCAAACGATGTGGCGCGTGCGGACCTTTTAGTTATGAATCTTATTACGAGACTATACTGTGATGTCTTTGACAACTGGCCATTTACATTATTTGCCGAAGCCGTTTCTTTGATCGTAGATCGCACAGGTTTTAGTTTCTGCACTGTATTTTATGCACCCGTACGTTCTGCACTGCCTCGTCTACGATCAGTGTGGGGGTTATGGTATATTTCTGTTATTATATGATATTATCATTGTTATTGAATGCGAGTGTAAATCGGTTGTGATTATACAGATAAAATATATTTCTAGTAGATTCGGAGTCATAATGATCCAGCGTCGTGATGACCCTCTTATATGAAATTCGTTCTTTGGGCGATGAAAATAAGTATTATTCAAGATAAATTTTAATTAATTAAAAATTAACTTCTAGCTCATTTATAAAAAGGTTCGTAGAAGTGATGATGTAAGATGATTACATATATCGGGTAGATGAATAGATTCATTAACCACACTACCGATTCTTTAGGCGAGACAACCATCGAGTAAGGATATTTAGTATAGGACAATTAAATATATGTATTGTCTCCATGCTCGTATTCATACAAGTAACCAGCAGAGCCTTTTTCTTAATCAATGCCAATAGAGGGCAATATATTTATGATGTGCAGGTACCTAAATGCCGTGTGCAGCTGCACATCATTGCAGGATAATCTCTGTAACTGCTTCACACAAACGCACGTTGTTACGAGTTGTGCTTTCGATTTCACATAGCCACTTGGTAGACCTTGGACATGTATGTATGATATTATGGGTATATATACATATATTTTTGACACTGCTGCAAACTGGCTGTAACTAATGGTTTTTCCTCACCGTAGCGAAGAAAACGTTTTAAAATAAACTGAAAGGTAACATCTTATATTGGCACTTGCTGTTCCAGACTGGATTGATTCATTTGGTACCATCTTATTATAGACGCTACATTGTTTGTGCTGTTGTTGTTGGGCGCTGTAAAAACGTCAATGGGAACATCAATAATTCATTTAAATAAAAAAATATGTATTCAAAGAATCCAACATCATGCACATCATTACATCATTACCAAGTGATGAAGACACCTCCACTATAACGTATCATGATCGGTACTTGGGAATGTATCTATCATAATCAGTACTAATGTTGTACATCTCTTTGCAGTGCCATCATGTTATGTAACAAAACACCGAAACATGAATCTAATCTGCTTATGTGATCTTTCGAGTTCTCCATCAAAATATCTGAGTTATGCAAAATATATCCGAGTAAATAAAATATATGAGAAGATGCTATAACAGCACAAAAATATCAGCATGCAAGTATTAGACATGTAGACAGACATTATCATGCAGATCAACTGATAATCTGTTCTACACCTTTGATTTACATGGGAGTGCTAGCACTCGATAATTCAAAATGTGTATTGCAACAGCTGGATAATTCGATCGCTGCTGTTTCTCGCCATGGTAGACGATCGTCAACCCCAATGAGAGCTAGCCACTACGGTGGCAAGAGGTGCCGATGTACGACCATTTCCTGCGAGGTCAGAGGTCGCGCATCCTGCGTGACGCGCCGAATCAACGTGTGAGGTCGCCGTCGCACGCTGACGGATGACAGTTTGCGGGGAGGGGGCAGCACCAGTCCTTGCGAGTTCTGCAGCGTCTGTTCCAAAGCACTGAGTTGGCTCTCGGCTGGTTTCTCTTCCTGGTGACAAGAGAGCAGACATGAGCAAGTGACCACCACTTTGAGGAAGAAGAGAAGTGAATAATAAAGAATTAGTGTGACATCTAATCATGGCCAGTGGTTTGTTACGAGGTAGCCTATGTCATAATTTGGCCAGTGTACAGATAATATTTGCAATCTTTAAACAAAATTACAATTACAATTGCAAAGTAATCAGGAGACACCATGTGCATCAAATCACCCACAAGAAAATTATGCAAAACAGATGCTTTTGACATTAAAAAAATTAACCACGTGCTAGTAATCGGTCATGCGTAATTCATTCAAGTCTTTCCTCGACTGCTTTGACATCGCAGGGATTTGACCCACCTGTGCACTGCTAGCTGCTTGCTCCTGATCATCGATGTCTGGCACCACCTGTAGGGGGCCAGCTCTACTTAGTGAATGCCTGCCAACATAAGAAAAGCCTACTATATGACGTGCACTCGTCCAAAGTAGGACAGGATTCAACCAACCATGTTAAGCAAATCACATCAGCAATGCCAATCAAACTATATGTCCATTACAGTGCTCCTCTGCAGAGGAAACAATACAATACATTATTTCCTTCGTGTTCTGTTCTACCTTGCGTCAATAATTTACATACAATTATATGTGTATGTTTATGTGAAGGTGCACGTACGTACGTTTGAAATGAGCAGCTACGCACAGGAACAAACATGCATGCATTCGTTCACGTTTACGCACACATGTACGCACGCAAGCACAGATGCATGCGCAGACACATGCACGGACACACGCACGCACACATACACAACCATCCGCCCACGCATAGCGATAATACCAGCTGAAGTATCTGCATGTTCGACGACGCATGTGTGTGTGTGCGAGTAACGAGGAGCTGTATGTATATATATCAGGAGTGTATAATGACAAAGGAGTAAGACAGCGATTTGGTACTGATTTCACTACATTTTTGTCGTACGAGTTCGATGTGAATAAAAATACAAATGTATACAAACATGAGCTTCTTTTGTTCACTCGTCCTTATTCTATCTTCCGGTAGTATTACAAACCGCGTAGCTTCCTTCGTTTTGACATAATTCGTACTTTTCGACGACATGGTTTTCACGTTAGTTACCGTCGTGTGGCCAGGCCCCACTTTAAATTTGCACACACAGCTCTTCAATGAGCCACGGTAGGGCTTTTCGGCCGTAGCCTAGTCGAGTGCAGAAAATTCGCCTAGAAATTAAGTTACGTTGCACCCATGCTGGGTTTAAACTATTAAACTATTTTACATTTAAACTATAGTTAGAATGCCTTGTTTTTATCGTTTAGTCCCGCAGTTTAAAAAAAAAATAAACGCTGCGCTGGTAAAATATCTGAACTACTTCACCCGCGGAGGAATGATGTGTATGAATCGTTATGAGTAAACTGATGCTCCAGCCGATTGTAGCGCAAAACACATGTGCGAAAAATTAATTGCATAGCAACCGTTATCTCTAGCCCGCGTACAGTTGCCGCTGGCGCTGCCTGACGCGATCCCTGCCGTGGCTCATTGAAGAGCTGTGTGTGCAAATTTAGAGTGTGGCCTCGCCACACGACGGTAACTAACGTGAAAACCATGTCGTAGAAAAGTACGAATTATGTCAAAACGAAGGAAGCTACGCGGTTTGTAATACTACCGGAAGATAGAATAAGGACCAGTGAACAAAAGAAGCTCATGTTTGTATACATTTCTATTTTTATTCACATCGAACTCGTACGACAAAAAGTAGTGAAATAAGTACCAAATCGTTGTCTTACTCCTTTTTTCATTATACGCTCCTGATATATATATATATATGGTATATATAAATAGCTATATATGGTAATATATAGTAATAACTATGCATCGCTCACCAGAGGCTGATCGTCGTCCTGAGACAGTCGAGCACCTGCGACGCGGTCAGTCTTGCCATCGGGTCGAGCACAAGCAGCTTCTTAATGAGTAACGTCGTGTTCTCCGACACCCGGCCATCGCTGCCACGACAAATGCGTGCGTTTATTACATTATCGTGTGCCGATTAATTCGTTAGTTCATTCGTTAGAACAGTGATGCTTAATTATACACAACCGCTGTTTCACAACGCATGCAGTGAATTACAATATTTATCATTACTGCCTGCAATCATGCGTAAAACACACAAAAGAAAAGGACAAGAGGGGTTTGTCGGTACGTTGTAGCATTAGAAATTCATACCGGGTTATTCGTGGCGCAGTTACAAACTTGGTTTGTTAACAAATAGAAAGAACAATTTACAAGAATGTAAGAATTATGATACGACTGTGTCACCAGTATCAACAAAAATTTCTGAATGACTGCATATGTTACTGCTGCCTAGTGAGTACAGAAGTACACCGTCATTATAAAACAAGTCCATTCCATAGATATCGATTTCTTTTGGTTCTCTGGTAAGCCAATTATTCAGACACTAATGTGAATCTGTTACATTTCACCATAGATTATTAATACATGAAAGCACGGGAGCAGGTAGTGTTGGGGGCAGTCACCGACGTAGACTCAACGTATTACTCAACCGATAGCGAATTCCTTACAAACATTCACACTCCACGCTAAGCGATACCTTGGAAGGAGGAATTCGGCCGCCTTGATCTTGCGGAACAGCTCCTGCGGCATGCTGTCGTAAAACGGAAACTGTCCGTACAGCATGGTGAACAGCACGACGCCCAGCGCCCACATGTCGCTCGGCTTGCCCAGGTACGGTTTACCTGCGCGCAACAGGTGACGGACAGGTGTTACGCGACGTGAAGCAACGGCAGAAGACACGTCGAACCAGATGCCTCGCCTAGCCTCGAACCTCGGACGCTGGTTTTGTGCATGGCCACAAGATGGGATGGATGCACAACCATTAACACATCGGTGCCATTATTGAGCAGGAGTAAATAATGGGTGGACAATGCCCTTATAATACACTCCTGATTGTACTTACATATATATACTTTACATTACAGTATATCACAGTTAAAAGTGTCACAGTATCACAGTTAAAAGTGTCACCGTATCACAGTTAAAAGTATCACAGTATTAAGTGGCTGGTAAACTTAGAAAAGATAAACAGTAGAATATTTGCCAGAATATTTGAAATATGTGAGCAGAGAATCACCAAATCCTCGCAGAGGTTTAGCGACAAGGACGGAGGGGGGCGCTATACTTGTCATGTACCGCTCAGCACGTCTGGGCTGATGTACGCCGGGCTGCCGCGCTGGTCCTTCAGCAGGTCACTCTCTGACACAAGGTGCTTGCCGAGGCAGAAGTTGGTGATGGTCACGCGTCGGCTGCTCTTGTTCAGCACCATGTTACCGAGCTTCAGGTCACGGTGGACGATGTTCTTCTACATTGCGAAACGCGAGAGTGAGAGAGAGAGGGGGAGAGTGAGAGAGAGAGAGGGAGAGGGAGAGAGAGAGAGAGAGAGCGAGCGAGAAAAAAACCAGTTATCACGCCAGTGACGTGCAAGCATTTTACATCCTAACTGCAGCTAGATGAGTATTCGCTAATTACATCACTGATACCGATATCGATGTATATGTAGATATAGACATAGATTATTATATATACGAATACGTACATCGACAGAACTTCTTACCCGGTGGAGATTATGTACGACACGAACTACATCACAGAAGACTACCAGTGCTTCCTTCTCACTAAGCTTCTTCTCTTTGATGACATAGTGTTGGAGATTGACTAGGTTAGCCGTCTTCGCATCGAAGTCGTGTGCGCAAAGGCAGTCAAGCACGAGGCACAGACGCTTGTGCATGCGCACACGCCGAGGGACAACGTCCATCACAGTGCTGCTACCCTCACCTTCCTCCTCCTCATACGCTTCATCCTACAGAGTCAAGAGGATTGTATAGTGAAAAGTCTGATAAACTGTCTTCTTAAAACGATTATTTCTCAAATAAATTAAAAAATAAATAAATTCAGACAAATTTAGACTCACCTGTCAGTGTACATATTACCGATTACTTCTGCATAAAAATTAATAGGAGTTCCTGCTGTTATACGCTATAAAACAATAGATGAACAGCAAACGTGCGCCTGCTTTCATCAGATTCACAATAATGGAATGTTCAATGTAATTTTAATGAGGGATGCAATTTTTTTGGAAAATTTTAACACTTGATGGTGCTGTATTAAAATTGAGTAAATACTAAATGAATTCCCTCCCATTATTCAAATGGTACTGCTATTAACAAAACGATTAATGTTTATATTTTCAAATCAGTTTTTCTTCATCATTGCATCATATTTCATCACATTATATTGCAATTTATTGCATTGCATTAGCTGTATCATATTGTACTGCATTACACATAACTAATCTGCATGGTATCATGCTGTATTTCAATACCTTCAAATGTATTGTGATATATTCTAATGCCTTATATTGTACATTGTACTGCACTGTATTCTCATGTCTTGCATTGAATAGTATTGCATTCTCCAGTTGCCCATATTATACCCACCTTGTATAAGCCATGATGATGTACAACCCCATCTTGATTGTGCAGAAGAGACAGCAGGGAATATTCGGTGTGTAGTAACATCTTTCCCTGCCGGTCATCCTGAGTTTCCTCTCCATCTTCTGGTCGCAACGGTAGCGACAATATCTGTATCACATATTGAGTTAATTAAGTTAGACATGCATAGTAGCGATTTGCCAGTTATTTGGCTGTGATATAGCTCCTACAGGTTTTGGTACATCAATAATTGGTACAGACAATCAACATACCCAATGTCACACGAGCAATTCACGTTGAACAATAATCGTTTGCAACTAGTAGGCATATGCGCCACCTGTTCAACAAACCTTTATTGTGTAAAACTCGTCACTGCCATCTTTCCTAGCTAAGCATTGCACAATGCTGCGCACTGGCGAAGTGCCAAGTCTCGGACCTAGACAAGAGAATATAGAGCATGTCTGTGTATAGATTTTTAATGTAAGTTCAGTTCCTGCTAACCCTAACCCTGTTCTAATCCTAACAGCAACAGTAAAAACAAGTGCCGTAGAGCGACAGCGCTCAACTGACGCGTACTGTAGCTTGGTATTCTTCTGATAAACTCACTGGCAACCAAATCAAGTGCGCCCTCCCACCACCGCGTTCGCGCCCAGAGCATATATCTAGGATACTACTAATACAGATCTAAAATCTATGATAGGCTTTGCTATACCGGTAGTACGTACAGTAATAAAGATACAGCTGTGTAACTTTAAAGACTTTGCTATATTAACATGTTATCATGGATATGCGTCGAGCGCGAGCGTAGTGGTGGTGGGGGGGGGGGCCTTTGTTAACAGTCAACAAAGCCATGTTTAACCCTCCTCTTGAGAGTAAAAAGGTTATCAGACACTTACTCTTCGCACGTCAGCGGAAAGCACATTTCATGGTCCTTTCAATAAAGTGATAAAAATGGTAGGTCAGCGCTTAAACAAAAAAGTTTTGCACTCGGTCCGTTAGACCATGTCTTCAGAAAATTAATGATATCTGACCTTTCCCCCACTGCCCTTTGACCTCCAATTTCGCGCTGGTGATCATGGGTTTCCTCCCCATCACACTATACATCGAATATTAAGAGCGTAAGGTCGAGCCGTTGAGATTTGTAGCCACAATTCCGTATTTACCTCCTAATACCGTTAATTAAGGGGGAATATCCCCTCCATTGACACATACTGACCTT